ATCTTGCAAAAGAACGGAGAATTAGATGGAGATCTCAACCATAGAATACAAGCTGGATGGATGAAGTGGAAGAGTGCATCCGGCGTGTTGTGTGACCGCCGTATGCCACTGAAGCTCAAGGGAAAATTTTATAGGACGGCAATAAGGCCGGCGATGCTGTATGGCACAGAATGTTGGGCGGTGAAGCATCAACACGTACACAAAATGGGTGTAGCGGAGATGAGGATGCTTCGTTGGATGTGTGGGCACACGAGAAAGGATAAGATTAGGAATGAGGATATCCGGGGTAAAGTAGGAGTAGCCGAAATTGAAGGAAAGATGAGAGAAAATCGGTTACGGTGGTTTGGACATGTGCAAAGAAGGCCTACTGACGCTCCGATTAGAAGATGCGACTATGGGACAGAGGTTCAGGGCCGAAGGGGTAGAGGAAGACCTAAGAAAACTTTGGAAGAGACTCTAAGAAAAGACTTAGAGTACTTGGATTTAACGAAGGACATGACACAGGACCGAGCACAATGGCGTTCTAAGATTCATGTAGCCGATCCCACTCAGTGACTTGGATTTTTCCAAGTCTCCAACCGAGAAGTTTTCCTCACTCAGGAAATTAAGGGAACACTACCTCAACCTACATGCTCCACTCACAAAGCTCCAACAAAAGAAAATTCAAAAGAACTTAGAGAAGAAGGCTTTGGTGTATTTAACACAATACGTTGAAATGAAGGAAAGCTTATTTATTGATATCCCGATAAGCTACAAATATGTACATATACATGAGTCAAAATAAACAAACAAGAGAGAGCCTTCACAAAGGTTGCTTAGGAGAAGTTGCAGCAGTCGGTAGAGCCCCAGAAAGAGAAGGCACCGGAGGGGGATCATTCGGAGCCTCAGTACTGGACAGAACCCTAGAAGGAGGAGGCATCAGAGGTTGATCATTTGGAGCTTCATTACGCGGTACAGCCCCAGAAGACGAAGGCAATAAATGCCTTTGGAACAAACCCACAAATCTCTGATGATCAAGTAAAACCTGACCATCAGATTCCTTCATCTGGTCCAGCTTCCTCTTCATGTTTGTAGCATAGTCATGTGCGAGACGGTGCAACTGTTTATTCTCATGCTTGAGCCCTCTAATCTCCTGTTTGAGACTCATCACTTCAGCCGCCAATGATTCAACTTGGCGGGTTCGAGCAAATAGGCGTTGGGCCATATTAGACACAGAACCTGCACACTGAACACTGAGAGCCAGAGAATCCTTAACAGCTAACTCATCAGATCGTTTGGAAAGTAGTCTGTTATCTTTGGGAGTGAGAAGGTTCCTGGCCACCACCGCAGCGGTCATATCATTCTTCATAACGGAATCCCCAACGGTAAGAGGACCAGTAGGGGAGACGAAGGATGGGCGCCATATGTTGTCTGGAGAAGGCGGGGCTGCCTCTTCAACAAGGTTCAAGTCAAAACGACGGTCGGAGGGGCCAGACATTTTCAAAGGTGTTGAAGAGAGAAGAGGTCGAACAAATCAAGATCTTAGAAGTGTAAGAATGGAGCTTCTACTGGGGGAGATTCAAGTGTGCTTTGGAACTTAATGCCAACCCCTATAAAAAATCTGCACTCGACGGAGCTTCAGAAATCGAAGAGGCGCCTGCTCAGAAATCGAAAGAGGCGTTTGCTTTCTCAAAAGCTGGGCTGCTCAGAGACCACGAGGGTCGATCTCAGAAAATCGAAGAGGCGTCTGCTTTCTCAAAAGTTGGGCTGCTCAAAGACCACGAAGGCCGATCTCAGAAATCGAAGAGGCGCTTGCTTTCTCAAAAGTTGGGCTGCTCAGAGACCACGAGGGCCGATCTCAGAAATCGAAGAGGCACCTACTTTTCCAGCCTTGGCAGCACCTGTCACACGCACACTCAGCTTTGCGGAAATTATGGGCATTCTGTCGAAGACTTCTGGTGAAGTAGAAAGCACATGAGTCTTACTGTTCAATCACCCACTTCCCACACGCAAATAGTAGCTCATGTGTATCACAGATAACTTTGCCAAAGTTCTCTGCCAAAGTTGAGCACGTGAAGCTTGCAGCTTCCACTACATCGCTCTGACCAAGACGGGTCAAAGAATAGCAAAGAAACAGCACTAACAAAGTTTAGACACATAAATTTTGAAGGTCTAGCTACCCCATATTATTACCCACAAGGGTAAAGGAACAGTATCACTGCTGGATAATTGGAAAGTCCCTGTGTGTCAACCTCTGTGTTTCGTGGCAAGGTAGACTAGCAAACATGCCCAACCTTTACTCACATTCGAGAAAACACTCCCAACAAGATTGCTTGCTCCAAAATCGAAGAGGCACCGTCCTCCGAATCTCGAGAGCCAGACTCCCAACATGACTACTTTCTCAAAAATCGAAGAGAGGGTAAAGGAACAGTACCATTGCTGGATAATTGGAAAGTCCCTGTGTGTCAACCTCTGTGCTTCGTGGCAAGGTAGACTAGCAAACATGCCCAACCTTTACTCACATTCGAGAAAACACTCCCAACAAGATTGCTTGCTCCAAAATCGAAGAGGCACCGCCCTCCGAATCTCGAGAGCCAGACTCCCAACATGATTACCTTCTCAAAAATCGAAGAGACACCGCTCTCCGAATCTCGAGAGCCAGACCCCCAGCAGGATTGCTTTCTCAAAAATCGAAGAGACATCGTTCTCCGAATCTCGAGAGCCAGATCCCTGATAGGATTGCTTGTTCGAAAACCGAAGAGGCAACACTTTCCCAACTACAAGAGCCGGATCTCCTTGGATAAAGCTGTCTGTAATCTTCACACGCAACATCAGCTTTCCACATACCACAGACCACTTTTTCAAAGTGCTCTGACAGGGTAAAGGAATAGCATTACTACTTGTTGTTAAGGAGACTCCTATATATGTCAACCTCCATCCCCAACGGACAGACAGACCTGCAAAAATGCTCAACCCTTCCTCATATATGAGAGGGCACTCTCAACGAAGCCTTTCGAAATATTCAGCTTTCTTTCCCCCCGATAATACCTCTGCAAACAAGTTATACTAGAGCAAGAATATCTCATATCATCAGGGTTAAAAGCAAGAGTATCCCATATCATGCTTTTTCCCTGTCTTTTCCTTTGGCCTTGTTCTTACCTGCAAGACAAGGAGAAAGAGAGCAATCAGTCAGCACTTGGAATCAAGCTTCCAGCCAGGAACTGACTGCCTGGAACTTACTTACCTGGCATTGCTCTCGAGTACTCATCTTCAACATCTTATGCTTCCAGGGAAGATACCGCATCTGCCTGAGGAACAGATAGGGCAAGTGAGAAGGATACAAGGAAGCATGTGGAGACAAGCGTAACAGCACACGTGCCGATACATCCATTACTCTGTCAAAGCAAAAGTATCCCATATCAATAGGGTCGAACGTACTCTAGATTTGATGGACTTGTTTTGACCCTCAAATTCTTCAGTCGGCCTTATACTCTGGAGGAAACCAGAAAACCCTCCAGCTCAGTTCAAGAATAAGCCTGTGGAAAGTTACTTCTTCAAAAGCAAAAGTATCCCATATCATCTCTTCTCATTTTTCTTCTCTTTATCCTTCATGCTGCCTGCAAGATAGGGAGAATGTGAACAATCAGCCGGAGCTCTGATTGCTTACCTTGTCTGTCACCTCTTTCAGCAAATCCCCTAGCTCGGCAACTTGAGGGACTCCTACTACATGGTTTGTATCGCGCTTGACCAAGCCTGAAACTACAAGTAAGCTTCAAGTGAAATTGATACATTACCTTGTGCATCTCCACCAGTTAAAGATACCACCCCTGGATGGAGGAAGAGTACTTCCAGAGAAGATGCCACATCTACCTGTGAGACAGATAAGGCAAGTCAAGACGATACCACATTCCGATACTTAGAAGTTTCGTGATTACGAGATCATTCTCCCACAATATTTCCTAATGTCATTTGTACTAAATCATTCACCTGTACTCACTAAAGGAAAGCTTGAACCTATGTACTTGTGTAAACCCTTCACAATTAATGAGAACTCCTCTATTCCGTGGACGTAGCCAATCTGGGTGAACCACGTACATCTTGTGTTTGCTTTCCTATCTATATCCATTTATATACTTATCCACACTAATGATCGGAGCAATCTAGCGAAGATCACAAAAAGCGACCGTTTTTCGCTACCTAGGATATATCGTGCAAGAGAACGGAGAATTAGAGAGATCTCAACCATAGAATAGAAGTTGGATAGATGAAGTGTAAGAGTGCATCCGGCGGGTTGTGTAACCGTCGTAGGCCACTGAAGCTCAAGGGAAAATTTTATAGGACGGCAATAAGGCCAGCGATGTTGTATGGCACAGAATGTTGGGCGGTGAAGCATCAACACGTACACAAAATGGGTGTGGCGGAGACGAGGATGCTTCGTGGGATGTGTGGGCACACAAGAAATGATAAGATTGGAAATGAGGATATTCGAGGTAAAGTAGGAGTGGCCGAAATTGAAGGAAAGATGAGAGAAAATCGGTTCCGGTGATTTGGACATGTGCAAAGAAGGCCTACTGATGCTCCGGTTCGAAGATGTGACTACGGGACAGAGGTTCAGGGCCAAAGGGGTAGAGGAAGACCTAGGAAAACTTTGGAAGAGACTCTAAGAAAAGATTTAGAGTACTTGGTTCTAACGGAGGACATGACACAAAACCGAGCGCAATGGCGTTCTAGGATTCATATAGCCGACCCCACTTAGTGGGAAAAGGCTTTGTTGTTGTTGTTGTTGTTGTGTGGTGATGAGCATACACCATAGTTTATGGTGATGGGCAAAAATGCTCCCTTTCTCATAAGAACTTCCATAGTAGAAAACATCACCTTCATGCCACGTGTCTTAATACAGCAGACTCACCATAGAGTGTGATCTGCTTTGTTGAATGTAACCGTTACAAAAGGGACGGCCCAACGGATCTTTCCACGGCTTTTCAAAATTTAAAATTATAAATTAAAAAGGCGAACAACAATTTATTCCCTACTTTCGTTATCTCCATCACGCTATCCCTCATTCATCATCGAAAACCCAAAGATTTTCAGTCTCATCTCTTTCTCTCTCTCTCCCCCATCATTGCCGTGTCCATCTCCGATTTCAATGGCTATGGCTCTCAGACCCATCGACAATGCTCTCCCAACCACACCGGAAAGACCCAAAAAGCAAACCAAAGTTGCTGTTCCAATCCAGAAGCAGAAACCTGAATTCGGCCTCATAAATGACGAAAACCAGGCTCCGCTTCCTGCAACCGCTGATGCCGCCATCGACTACATCTCTTCCGAGAATCTCAAACCCATCTCAGACCCTGATCTCAAGATTCAGGTAATTCTCCATCTCATTGGTATTTTTCCCTTTCTGTTACTTTGAGTAAAACCCGATTGGTGTCGCCCCTTGTACTCGAGTTCGATTCTCCTTACTGGTGTATTAATGTCGCAGTAAAATTTTAATCATTTTTGAAAATTTTCAGAGCTTGAATGAGGGATTGGAATCAAAGGATTGGGTGAAGGTGTGTGAGTCTCTGAACAATGTCAGGCGTTTTGCACTCTACCACTCTGCCCTTCTGGCTCCTACTCTGTAAGTGCTTTTCTTCCCAGTTTCAACTTCCGATTCTGTGCTGTGAAGCCACTAAAACGACGTCATTTTTGTATGTACAGAGAAAAAGTTATGGTGGTGCTGGTCAAGGCAATGAAGAATCCGAGAAGTGCCTTAATCAAGACCTCGATTATGGCTTCTTCCGACATCTTCACCGCCTTTGGCGATGGTTTACTTGAGTCCGCGGCCTCTAATGCATTTGATCAATTGGTGTGTAACCCAGACGGTTTTTTTTTTCTTCTTAAATTTAAGGATCGACAACCATTTCGTTTAGTTTTCAATTTTTTTATGTTCTGATGAACGGCTTGGATTGTTCGATGCGTTCTTCACAGCTGCTGCAATTGCTGTTGAAGTCATCTCAAGACAAACGTTTTGTGTGTGAAGAAGCAGACAGGGCACTGAGCTCCATGGTGCAGTCCTTGACCCCTCTTCCTCTGCTTCAGAAGCTTCGAGCCTACGCTTCCCATGGCAACCCTAGAGTCAGAGCCAAAGCTGCCATTTCCGTCGCATCTTGCGTCGCCAAGATGGTATTTACTATGAAATCAAAATGTTCTCTTGGGCTATGACTCTGAACAATACCATTTTTCTTGTTAACCTTGTTACGAAAAATGGGATTTTGGTACCGATTTTCAGGGGCTTGAAGGAATGAAGGATTATGGGGTGGTTTCTTTGGTGAAAATGGCTGCAGATTTGTTGAATGATAGGCTGCCTGAGGCGAGAGAAGCAGCGCGGGGAATTGTGATGTCGGTATACAATGCCTATACAGAGAATGAAGAGGAGAAGCTGCGGGAGAATGAAGAGGAGAAGCCAGAGAAGCAGGAGATTTGGCTAAGCTTTTGCCAGTCTAATTTGTCAACAATCCATGCGCAGTCCATGGTCAAAATTACTTCTTCTCAGTAGAAAGAAGACTATGATTAGGGTTGTGTTTTACTGGTAGTAGAAGCTACAGTTTGGTTTGTGATTCTGCTGGTAGCCTTATAGCAGCATATATAGTTTGAGAGTGCCATGAGTTTACATCTTCCAGCTTCGTCTAAAAGCTGTTCTTACGTAATTTTATGTTGATGAAGTTCATCGTTTAATAAAATTTTCGTTGTTGATAATGGAAGAGTTGACGAAAGAGCTACAGAACCGTAATATACCAGCAATGCAAGTAACCAAACCAACCCCTCTGAAAATTCGGAAAAATATCTTTGAGATGGCAGCAATCTTACGGTAATATCTTTAGGGTTTAGATCTCTTTCTGAGCCGGCGTGCCATACACATACGGACAGTGAAACAAGCGGGTGGTAATACAACTAATTTTCAGCTGTGTTCTGGTGGCAAAAAGTTTTGGTTTCTTTAAGCCTTAGAATCCCACATCGCCCGTGCAAGGGAAGTGAGCAAGCAAACAAGCCAATAAAAGCTACCTTCCAAAGCTGAAAGAAGCATACCTTTCTCGGCCTTTTGGTTAAGATCAAGTGTAGTATCTGTTCTTATCAGTTTAATATCTGATACGTGGACCAATGGTCCACACGATATTAAATTAATTTTTTAAGGGGGAGGATTCACAACGGTAGCTTGCTACTGGGATCCTCATGTGTCGCCCAAGCGTTGCACTATTGCTCGGGCAGGCGCACCCCACCAAATCAAGTCCGAATTTGAATTTAGTTTAGTTATTAATTGCGAAGTTAGAGATTAAGAGGGGTATTTTAGTTTTAGTTATAGTGGATATAACGAAGAAATAAAAATTTAGAGCTTACTAAATCTGGGGTCTGAATTTATTTATTTATTTACAGATACTCTCATTAACCCATTCCTGTTGGTAGGAATGGTTTATTTCGACAAAAAGAAAATGTCAAAGTTATTACGTCATAATATTTAAGCTAAGTGATTGAATTTCTTATTCATAAAACTGCGATTAAAATGTTTGATGCCACTAATCGGAAATGTTCAGTATCCTTATTCATCGTAACAAATTCAAGTTTACAGAAACCAAAACTTTTTGCCGAGGTTAGGGCTCTACATCTTTTCCCAAATTGCTAGCAGCCATGCTTTTGCTGTTTACAAACATCTTCAGCAACTATTTGGATTGTGGTCCAATTTTTTATTTTCCATTCAGGGTGAGCCCATTCTAATTACTAAACCTAACTAACAAGAGTACGAAAGGACGAAAAAGAAGAACCAAATAGAGAACTCACTTTGTCAACTAAAGAGAGTGAAATATCAGTACACTCTTTAACATTAAAAAGGTTGTATCAATAGTGAGTTTGTAACCATTTTTTTTTTTAGTACAACAATATATTTTTACACTAAAGGGAGGGGGAGTTCGGCTAAAGCTACACAATGGGCAACCTAATTTGGTATCGAATTCACTATCCATGAGTTCGTAACCAAATTATTCAGTCACCTCATTAGTGTAGATATATTATTGCATCAAAACATTAAAAAGGATGAATAATAAATTTTAGAACTGGGCAATAAACTAATTACACTCCATGCAAAATATATGTGACTCCTTCTAGTATCCTTGAACTAAATAAATAGCTACTATCAAAGTTTGATAATTGTTAAAGAGAACATCAGAAGAATATTTTATAATGTTGTGTATGCAAATAATCAGGGATGAAACCAGAAATTTAACTAAGAGGGGCATCTTAAAAAATTTAAGCTTTTTTATTTTTATTTTTTGTGACAAATGAAGCTAACTTTTTTACGAATGCTGAAAAAATAGTTACAAAATACCTAATTTTATTACTCTATTGTCTAATTTTGATTTAAGTGTTGTATTAACAATTTAATGCTCATTCGTACAACTAAATATATACAACTCGACAAGATTTAGACATGAGCGAGTGAGAAACAAAAAAAAAAAGGGCACTTAAGATCTAAGGGAGGAATTTTCACTATTTTATGATTAATACAATTACAAGGATAAATGCATATTTAGCATCTCTAATAGTAATACTATATTTGGGGTACCATAATATATTTCAAGCCAAATGTGAGATGTCTAAATGAACTAATGCAAGATATGATCAAATTGCTTAGGGTATCAGAAAATAGGAAGTGAATAAAATGAAAGAATATTGTACCGAATTTTGCACTTCCAACTTTTAATGCATTAGGGTGCATTGTAGACGTTCAAAACTTCAAGTTCCATCTTATAGCATAGCAATTAACAACCCAAAAATCGACACATTGGAGAAGACCTAACATTAATCTGGGTGCTAATGATGTTTTTTCAAGTTTGTATAAAGTAAATGTCAAATTTTTTACGTATTTTGAAATTATATCTAGCGCAAGGACTTGTATCATCATAAACAATTTTTCCGTTGATAGGAAGCTGAGGGATTGTACCTTTTTATTTGCCAAGTTGTAGAAATGATCTTTGTTTGGTCAATTAACATTTGATCACTGTCCACAAATATATGTATATATAACCCCAAATTCAATCTGGCTATAATGGAGTTCAAGTCAGATATGATTCACATGTAGCAGCTCTCGCGGCAAGACGTTTTGCTTTTTGTAAAGTTAGAATCCCACATCGGCCGCGCAAGAGAAGTGAGCAAGCAAACAGGCCAATAAAAGCCACATTCCAATGCTATAGATGGAAAACTTGTTTCGGCCTTTTGGTTAATATCAAGTGTTGTGTATGTTATTGTCAGTTTAATGTCTACACGTCGGATAATGCTTCACCCGAAATTGTTTGTGCTGGCGCGCCCGTCCAAAACAATTTCAAATTATAGTTAGACGTATAAACAGGTCTGAACCATAAATAAATTATTTAAATTTTTGTGTTGACGGGAAATCAAACATTGATAAATTGGTGTTCTGCAATGTGTTTAGCAGGCTAATTTCCAAGATCTGATTCACTTGGCTGCCTCAATTTGTGTCACAATTTTCGTTTCTTCTTGGTCTTCTTGCAGACCAAGAAGAGATGACTACAAACTGGTTTTCGTTTCGAACTTATTGAGTGATGGGGTTGAATGGTTAATTTAGATACTAGGAATTTAGGTCAGTGTCAAGGAGCCCGTTTGATAATCTGAGGGGCTACCTCGTCCCCCTAATTGTAAGCAGCCATGTTTGTTTTATAATTCGGTATATGGGTTTAATTTCTAACGTCTTAACATTGTAGACAAATTGATGTATCTACAGCCTAATTTGTTCATGCTGGTTGTTAGTTCGAGAGTCACAGATTCAATGGTTCAGCTATTTGGACTCGGCCCTTTTAGTAATTTTTGCTGCTTACAAACAAGCGTCTTCAGTCCCATATCGACGGAAGGAAGAAAGCGTGGAAGTAAATGCTTGCTGTTTACAAACAACTGTCTTTTTCATCAGTCACAATTTGTTACTGGAGTAGCTTGGTAGGTCGATGTAACTATACGATGAGGACGATAATCACCAAAATTAGGCGTGTGCCCATTGCGGCTTTAAGCTAATTAGCCTTGCTCGCAAAGTCACACAATTTAAAAACATAGAAATTGTCGAAAGAAAAGAAAACACGAATAACACATTGAAAAAGTCGTTGAGGGAAAGAAAAAGATAAATCCAAATTTCTAAAACCCAACAAGCAAAACCCTTTTGGCTTTTGGCAGCTGCTGAATCTTCCTTCGGTTTTTCTTTTTGCAAGCGCAGAAGCTCGGATCTATGGACTCCTCAAAGCCTTCTGTCCGTCTTTCTGCAGCACAAGGGACTCCGGTATCCACCCAATCCAGCAACCCGCCGCCGCACAAGCTTGCTCTTTCCCGCACCTCTTCACTCTCAGGTTCTCTCTCTATCCGAGCTCCTCCTACCCCTGATTCCGATTCCGATTCCGATTCTCAGTTCCAAGAATTGGGTTATAGCTCTAGTGGTAATATTAGTAGCAGTGAATCTGATTCCGAGGCCTTCGTGACTGGGGAGGAGTTCGAAACGGCGTCGGAGAGGCCGCTGTTGGCCGACCCAGATGAGGAATTTCTCGGTCCTGTCGAAAGATACGAGCTTTCCTGGCCTTTTGTGGCTGACCCGGATGATGGGTTCGAGCCTGTTGTTGAGAAAGTTATGGTGGGTGACTCTGGGAGGGTTATGCCCGTTGCTCAGTTGTCATGGGAGAGTGATGATGATGGTGTGGTGGGTAGTGATGGGGTTTTGAGTGAAGTGGAAGACGGGGAGTTTTCGGTTCGGGTTAAGGTTCCGGGTAATGGGGTTGTGGAGAAGCTTAGTGTTGCGCCGAGGGTCAAGGTTTTCGAGATTGAAGAAGGAGAAGAAGAAGATGAATTAGTGAAGTCGAAAGAGTCTTTGGTGGTTGAACAAGCTGAACCTGTTGCAAAGGTAAAGGGTTTTAAAGCTGATGAGGGTTTGGATTTGAATAATTTTTTCGAAGCCAAAAATGGGATTGAAAATAATGGTGTTGCTGCTGCTGAGATTGAAGATAACGGTCGAAATTCTGCGGAATTGAGCGTTAGTGTATTGGAAAAAGGGGAGAAAGGCAATTATATGGCAGAAGAATGCTTTGTGCATTGCCCGAATAGCGAGAGGAGTAATGGTGTTGATTTGGGTGTTGAGGGGAATGAAAATCAGAATGTGGACTTGACAACCAATTTGCGCCCGAATCTAGTTCCCGAGAGTTTGTATTTGGAAAATTGTAATTTATCTGAACTTACTAAGGATGATGAATTTGAAAATGCACTGTGTAGTGATATACTTAAATCAATCACACTGAGTTCGCTATCTGTACCTCTCTTATGTGACAATGGGGCGGAAAATGTTGGTGCTGTGCAATTTCAAGGTGATACAGCAGCATATGGAGCCAAAGTGGAAGTGCTTTTCAAGGAGAAGGAATTCCCTATACAGAAAGAACAAATCAGTTTCGGTCTGTTTGGAGAGAAGATTATTATCACACCTAGAGTTTCAGTTCTTGAAGGAGAAGAATCGGGGCCGGTGCTGTCGAAAGAGTCCTCGGTCATTGAACGGTCTATTCAAGCGCAAAGGATTGAAGATAATGGTCTTCCTGCTGCTGAGATCAACAAGGGACTTGAAAGAGGACCAGAGAAAGGCAAGTATGCGGCAGATGAATCAGTTGTGCATTGCCCTAATGGCAAAAGGAGTGGTGTTGATTCTAGTGGAAGTTCTGAGGCACCCGAAAGAGGAAAGCATTCAAGAACTGATTTTGGTGTTGAGGGGAATAAAGATCAAATTGGAGACTCAACGACATATTCAGAGCCAAATCCAGTTCAGGAGATTGTATGTTTGGGTAATGGCGATTTGTCTGAAGCTACGAAGTGTGATAGATTTGAATATGCACTGTGTAGGGATTTCCTTAAATTGATCACGCCAAGTTCCTCCGCGACATGCAATCACATCTTTAGGGATGAGACCAAAGTCGAAAGTTTCAGCATAAACGGAACAGCAGCTGAGGTAACTGTAACTCTTTCAGATGAAAATATGGTCACCGGACTCAAGTTTGAGGACCAGTTGGCTATTGGGGAGCGATTGGTTTTGGCCGGAAGTGCTGGAGCTTTGCAATTTGAAGGTGATACAGCACATGGAGCCAAATTGGAGGTGCGTCTCAACGACAAGGATTTCCCTAGAAGGCAGGACCCAACCAGCTTGGGTTTGTCTCTGATGAAGTGGGGAGGTGGTCTTGTTCTAACAGCCGACATACTGTCTCTGTTCTCTGTCCGGAATTCTCAAATGGCTGTTCATGTTGTACTGGACAGCAAGCAAAGGGGCAAATTTGCTATAAAGACGGGCAGTTCAAACCAACTCCAAGTTGCAATTGTTGGGATTCTTTCAGTTGCGGCTTCAATCTTTGGGATTTTTCGCCCGAGATTCGGTGTTCAAAACTCAAGATAATAGGTGTAGTTTTCCTTTTGCTGTTGGTTGTACTTGTCACTAAATTTCAATGTCCAGCACTCTTATGTTTATGAAACCAAAACTACGTATTGAAGTTGTTGTACATCATGTCTGAGTTCAGTCATTCCCAAAATTATCTACTCTGTCGTCTCTTCGAGGACATCTGATAGAACTGAAACGACAGAGAAAAGATTAGCATGGTCCATGCGCGAGGATGATACGCATAAATCGTTTCAATTGAACTTTCAAAAGTAAAGGGGTCCAAGTTATTCTGCCTTGCACTCCAAGTTTCTATTTGTTTGCCCTATTTTTCAGATTTGCACCCCAAGTAATTAATGTGCCCTTTTTCTTAATTAAAAATGATTGAAATGAACAAGCTCTCTGTTTATATAAACCAATCTTTAATGCACCATTATTTATGTTGAAAAGCTTTAAAGATTCAAATCCCAATTCCCAATCATAGAAAACGTGTAAGAATTCTTCTTCTTAATTATTCAAATTCTCATTTAATTGTTGGTTCCTTTTGCAAATTCTTCTAAATTCTCTTAGCACTTGGCACACAAGTTGGTATCGTATCATATCGTGTAGATCGATTCTCATTATGCAATTGGGTTTAATATTTTATGTAAGTTATGAATCACTTCCGCTCATAAATACAATAAAAATATATATATATATAATTTTTTTTTTTGTCAAACGTGCCTCAAGCTAACGACTTACGTGTAAGACACGACAACCACTCAATTTTTCTTTAAGAAGTTAAATGTTTAAATTTTTATAAACAGACTCAAGCGTAGCCAAATTGATATGTAATCTATAACCATATTTAAATTTCTCTTCTCATAATATGGATTAATTTAGTATAGAATATTGTTTGTATTAAAAGACACTTTTATGAAGCTAGGAGAATAGAACCATACCCATGTTAATTTTTGTCTCATGATTTTTAATTACTTTGTGATTTATATAATACAATGATATATTTACATTGCGTGTTGTATGTATTTTATTCAAGTAGCATAATAGGTCAACAATAATAATTTTGTTCGAACTCGCCATGAACGAAAACAAAATTTGACTTTTCATGAAACGAAATATCTTTAAATCGTACTACTAATTACTTGATTTATTTAATTCAAAAGCCAAAAATAAGAAAAGCTATAAGGGGGAAAAAAGCATACTACTACTAGGAAACAATATGTGAGGTGAAAAAAAAAAAAAGAGAAAGAATACGTGAGAAATTAAAAATTAAAAATAAAATGGGTTGAGCCGTCCACCCTACCCGTTTCTTTGACGGGTTCGAACCGGAAAAAAACAAACGGCTGTAACTTGCAAGGTTTTGGCTGGTTTTATCCGCATTCCGGATGGTGTTTCCCTCTTTCTGCTAACACTCCTCAGTCCCAGTCCCCAAAAATGGAGAAGAAGCTGCTCTTCCAATGAACTTCAAATCCTTCGCAGCCCACTCTTGGGCGCTCCAACCCAGGGAAGCCGCCATGGCTGTGATTCAGACCTCCCCCTACAGGGTATATACATATACACGCACGAGACATATATATATACATATCTGTATTGGATATAAACGCGCACACACGCAAACACTTGTTTTGAGTTCGCAGTTACGTTTCCAATTTCTGTTTGTTTCCCGAGAAAGTGTTGGGAAAAATTAGAGAGACTTGGAAGTTTGGTTTGACATTTCAAGCTTTGTGTGTTGTTCCAACATTTCTTTTCGAACCAAGTTCTGAAGTAGTTGAAAAGGGTTTCCCGATCAGTAACAAATCAAAAGCGTCTTGTTTTTGTGTTACCTTTTTGAAGTTGTAATTTTTGCTTGTCAAATGGTTCTGGTTATGAAGTGATAATGTGCTTGAATTCGGATTTTTTAGTTTGAGTTGTGCCCGAAAGTGGATTACGATTCCGGTGTGTTTGTTTGCATAAAGTTAATATTTTTACCGGCATATGGGAGTATGAGGCATTTTTGGGCTCTTTTCTTGTGGTGTGCACCAGTTGCTTGATGGAATGTCACAGAGAGACGTCTCGATTGTGTTCTCTATGGTTGGAGTTTTGAGTGAATTTCGATGCAAATAGAAGAAAAGATTATGAGATTTCTGCTGTTTGTAGCTATAATTCAAAAAATAAAAGCAGACAGAACTGATTCTCCTAAATCTGGAAACTGGCTCTTTTTTTTTCTTTCTATATGACAAAGTGCAAAGACACTATAAATTCTCTTAGCTTCTAATTGGAATTCGATAACCGAACTGAATCACTGGTGCCAATAACTAACTGTGAACTAAATTGTGACTTAATATTAACAAAGAAATTTAGATTTCCTTCCACACGTCTTACATGACCTTCAGAGTTCGGAATTGTTCTTTTCTTTTCTTCTTCTGAACTTCTTTCGACGTAGTTATACTTGAATAAACTGTTTGATTCATAATTGAGTTCAATTGGTCATTTGAACATTGGATTTGTATCTCATCTAACTCCATCTTAAATTGTGTTGTACGTGATCAGGTTCTGTCACAAAGAACTTGCTCATCTTTTAGGAGCACAGCTTCTGTTGGCTTATTTTATTTCAGAGACAGGTCTTCAGTTAAAGTTTTCTCTCTCTTTAACATGGCGCACTACTCTGCTTTTTCCAATGATGAGTTTGGTTCTTCCTCAAAGCGAAGATCTCGAGGACCTGTTATGGCCGCAAAGAAAGTAGCTGAAGGTGTTTTGTGTGTTATTATTCTTTTTTTGAAATTGGGTGCTTATAGTGTTGATATATCACATGATTTCAGAGAATTCCTTTTCAAATATTTAAATTTTTTGTCTGAAAACCGAACTAGTTGTAAATTTTGTCTGAAAGCCAAACACAATACTCCTTTTTTTGTTTAGGGAAAAAGCAAGAAGAGGGAAAATACAAGCACACGGTTGAACTGCCAAAGACATCATTTAGCATGAGAGCGAACTCTTTAACACGAGAGCCTGAAATCCAAAAAATATGGGATGACAATCAAGTTTTCAAGAGAGTTGTTGGTAAAAATACAGGGGTGAGTTTCATACCATGCCTTTCTTGGATTTAGGTATTTTTGACCTGGCATGACTTAATGGCAAACTTTTACTTTCTTGGTCAGGAAAATTTCATTCTTCATGATGGTCCTCCGTATGCCAATGGAGATCTTCACATAGGCCATGCTTTAAATAAGATTTTAAAGGATTTTATCAATCGTTATAAGGTATATATTCCTCCTCTACTTATCCATTCACTATGATACGTTTACATATATTTGGCATTTCATCACAAACAAAACAACCTTTTTAGTAAACAAAGGGGGTGGGAACACCCAACAGAAAGAAAATTACCTTGTTAACAGCTTGGAAACTGAATGGTATTGGTAAACCAAGTTCTAATTAATAAATAATGATTGTTCCAGATCACCACTTGCTTGCTAGCTTTTCGTATTCATGCTAATGTTAATATTCTAGCACTCTTGAGTCTTGAACAACAAAATGAATTGAAGGCTTGCACAACAATTTTAGCTCTCATTTGAATAACATGATGATATCTGGATTTCATTTGTTCTACAGTTCTTTTTAAGTATCAGAATAGGTCTATACATTTCTACTTTGCTTGGTGGTTAAGAAAATAAAAAAGCATGAGAATTTCATGCTGCTTTACAGTTATTTATTCAACTAATATTTTGATGAATTACTCTCTTAACATACTAAAAGAAATAAAACAAAACGGCTTTAGTTACGTAAACCCAGCTCCTGTCCTCTTTAAACATGCAAACTAAGCTACATTTGATTGGTTGTCAAACTCAACGACCCTTTCACAAAAATAAGTAAAGTTCATTCCTGTATTCTTTTTCTGTGGGCAGCTTCTTCAAAATTATAAAGTTCATTATGTGCCTGGTTGGGATTGTCATGGCTTACCAATTGAGTTGAAAGGCAAGTACTGCTTCGTTCATATTCATTTCTGTATCATGAAAACCACTTTTAGAGGGAAAACAAGTTGAAGAAGCGTAAAATCCTCTCGGTTTCTCTTAAACTTGCCTTCATTGGTAGAAACCAAGGTTTTTATTTTTTATTCTATATTTGAAAGAGAAGTAGAAAAATCCAGTTAAGTACAATAGGTTTATTTTCCTGGGTGCATGTGATGATTGACTTCAGCATCATTTCGATCATTTCAGTTCTTCAATCACTTGATCAAGCTGCTCGAAAGGATCTAACACCAATAAAGTTGAGAGCAAAGGCAGCCAAATTTGCCAAGCAAACCGTTAAAACTCAGATGGAATCATTTAAGGTAAATACCCTTTATTGTGTCCCATATTATGTCTGTGTTTTGGCTCTATTAGAGTGATTCTTTGGAGATGATTCTCTTGCCCTTTCAGGATAAATTGCAATTTAGTTATGTTGTTAGGATGTTGAATTTTCATTTTGAAAAGGAAAAAGAATAATAAAGGATTTAGTATTTAAACAGAGTGGAATATTCTTGAAGATTAATTGTTTCATCTGATTGCAGCGTTATGGAGTGTGGGCAGATTGGAATAATCCCTACCTCACTCTTGATCCAGAATATGAAGCTGCTCAGGTAGTCACAATGCTCATGCTTTGTTTGTAGACAATTAAACTGAATGTAACTTGTAGAAGATTGTCAACAATCCTATACTATGGTAAAGTGATTTCTAGACTTCATATAGCATTTCTTTTAGTAACAGAAATTACAAAAAAAGAAGAAGAAATATATGAAAAACGACCTAAACTTGCTCATCATTCTGTTAAGGATATTGATCCTATATGTTGCTGAGTCCGTACAAGTTTATCTCACCTGTGTCATATCATTTCCTAGATAGAAGTGTTTGGCCAGATGGTCCTTCAAGGTTTTATCTACAGAGGCAAGAAACCAGTTCACTGGAGCCCCTCATCACGAACTGCTCTTGCAGAGGCTGAGTTGGAGGTAAATCCACTTTTTCTGTGATCCTTGTGTAAAAGGATGTCACTTATCATGTATTATCTGATTTTGCTTTCTACATTGTATTGGTATAGTTCCTGTTACTTGACTGAAACTTTTATATACAGTATCCGGAGGGGCATGTTTCGAGAAGCATATACGCCATTTTCAAATTGGTCAGTGCCTCTCCT